TAGGTGATCATTCTATGTTTGTACTTTGTGTAAGGTTCTATAGACCCCTATGGTAGAGCAGATAAGTATAGGTGATCATTCTATGTTTGTACTTTGTGTAAGGTTCTATAGACCCCTATGGTAGAGCAGATAAGTATAGGTGATCATTCTATGTTTGTACTTGGCACAGGATCAGCGGAGGATGACATCGTACTTCAAGTCATTATACTGGTTGGTACTGTATGTAACGATGATGCCTGTGCAAAGATGTTAGCAGAGTCTAACATCATACAGTGTCTTATTGAACTTTTAAATGGTAAGTTGCATATCCATGCCTGATATCTTAGTGTCTTATTGAACTTCTAAATGGTGAATTATATCCACATCTGATATCTTAGTGACTTATTGAACTTCTAAATGGTGAATTATATCCACATCTGATATCTTAGTGACTTATTGAACTTCTAAATGGTGAATTATATCCACATCTGATATCTTAGTGACTTATTGAACTTCTAAATGGTGAATTATATCCACATCTGATATCTTACAGAGTCTAATCCACATCTGGCTACTGCTCTGCTTGTTTTATATATAAATTTAAACTGTTTTCATTTGACACTTTTTTGCTAATTTTGGATTTAATCAACAGTAGACTTGAAGTGGGCTTTAACTTTGAAAAACGATATGGAGACTTAATTATTACATCCATTGCAGCAAAACAAGAAGATGATGAGATGGTGTGTCAGATTGTCTATGTGTTCTATCAGATGATATTCCACGAATCGACGAGAGAAGTCATCATCAAGGACACTCGTATCCTTATCAACAAGTTATGGGTTATTGGGTCAGACTCAGAAAAATATTGGGTTTTTGTATCATTCTGATATCTTTAGAAATTCAATGTTAACATGTTACATGACAGCATATTCAGCCATGAATATTAAAAAAGTCGTTTGAAACAGAAAACAATAATTTAATTTAGTATAGATGTTAGGGTATCAAACTAAATTGAGTAACACCTCATAAGTATATATAAATTTATATTAACTTTTTGCATACTGAGTCCTGTAGCTTTAACTAAATACCTCAATCTTCACATTTCTTTTAAATAAAGGTTTATTCACATGCTGAAAATGAAAACATTTTTATGTCTTGGTCACTGAATGCATGAATATTCATACGTCCTAATTATGAAGTGGTAACGAAAGATTTTGTAGTGGAAGAACAGAAAGTGCTGCAGTCTGGACAGCAGTGTTACCAGTGGATTCATTTAATCTTTCATGTTATGTCACCGGCCATGTCACAAAGTTGAGAAAGGATATTCTACAATTCAAAAACTGTTTTCAAGTCATTATAGCCCTGTTTTCCATCACTTTAAGGTTTTAATGTATTGGCACATTAATATTGAAGTTTCATCATAATAAACAGATTTAAAATATGAATACCGTGTTATGCAGTGTCATAAACTAGCCATCACATAAATTATGTTTATGTAACGTGTGTAATATCACTCCGGAAATGACATCACAATTGAATAGTAACAATCAATGTGATGTCACGTCATTGTGAAGCGGACGCAATTTTCAACGTTTCAGAGGCGGCCAAGGGCAAAATATTTGTTTCAGATCACAATTATACAGTTTACTTTGTGTTATATGATAAAAAGAATCTGTCATTTGTTTCCCTTCATATTAGATCTGATACTCGTTTTAGATTTTTCATATTGCTCGCCAGAGGCTCGCAAACATGAAAAATCCAAAACTTGTATCATAAATCTAATATGAAGGGAAACTTATGACAGATCTTCTATATATTACATTCCTTGTACTAGTTTTATAACGATATTATATTACCGATATAACTGACTATATAACGATATGATATATTATATTACCGATAATGGTGTTGACATAACATGCTCCTTAACAGCTGGACAGAGGCCCCAGCCTACCTGATTGACCTCATGCATGACAAAAATGCAGAGATTAGGAAAGTGTGTGACAACACTCTGGACATCATAGCTGTAAGTTGAGGGGATGATATATATTATAATCAGCTGAAACACGGTAGACACAGCAACATGTTCGGTTGATATCAGACAGATAGTATGTAGAAATTAATCAGCAGGTTCTGTATTTTATAGCAGTAAGCTCATGCCTGGTAGTAAGTCCACCCATATCTATAACATTGCTGCAGAAACGCCAGTAAATGCTATCTCATTGTCATTATTGATCTAGCCCCCATATTTGAGTTAGACATTATATGTTAGCACCCATGAGCTTTTTGCAGGAATCCCACCATGTTACTCTATAAATGATAGTATGTTTTGGTTATACATATTTTTGATGAAGGCGAACTTTATATTGTAGGTTTTAAAACACAGAACTGAAATGAGGGTGTGATAAATTGATACTGTAGGTTGTCATATGCAGGATTTTGATAAAGGAGGGTAAATTTAATTTAATGCTGTATAATTGAGATTGATGAGGAAAGGTGAAGTTTATACTACATGTTGTATTACACAGGAATTTGATGAGGAATGGGCTAAGAAAATCCAGTTGGAGAAGTTCCGCTGGCACAACTCCCAGTGGCTGGAGATGGTGGAGACCAGACAGATGGAGGACATGGCTGATCCATACATGTACCCTGAGGATGAGTACGACCCCTACCTCCAGGATGCTGACATCCTTGACCGGCCAGACCTTTTCTACGGAGGTGAGTTAGGGAAATTATATGGTTTAGCTGGGTTAGACTTCTTCTACAGGAGTTGGTTTAGGGACAAGATAAATGCTCTAGGCTTGCCAAACCTCTGTTCAATAAACACAATTGTGTTTGCCCTCCCCCTTCAACAGCCAGATCTATACAGATTAGGATTGTCATTAGTTTAAATTGACATAACACCTGTATTATAGCAGAAATTTGATTAGCGATGTACATGTATAGAATTTAAATTAAATTGTGATCTTAGTCCAACTTTCATTGTATATGATGTGCCGTCCTCCTAAGATCATATTGTATATGATGTGCCGTCCTCCTAAGATCATATTGTATATGATGTGCCGTCCTCCTAAGATCATATTGCAATTTGATTTCAGGTTCAGGGTTGTTTTGCACATTTGATAATTGAAGCTAATTTTGATGTGTTTAAAAGTACTGTATGTGTACAAGTAATCACTTTATAGATGTTACAACAGCATAAATACTGTAATACATCCGTAATATATGTTTCCTATGTGTATAGTGTTTCATATGTACCATCACTCACGTCTCATGCGGAGTATTTTGTTTTAAACTTTAGGTAACAAGGGTAAGTGATCATAGATTCTGCATCATGTGCTGTGTTACAGAGTATAGATATCACATCACATTCAGTTTTGTTCTTTAGCAACCAGTATGAGCTGATTGATTTTCCTTTTTTCCCCCACAAGAATTGGGACTGTTTGTATAGCTTTGTAGATGGGAATACAGTAACATCTAGGTCCACTAGGGTGGTGTATTTCAGCAGTGCGGTAACTAGTGGTGACAGGAGGGGATGCAGAACTCTGTTGTTTATTTGGAAGAAATCTTTCAGTTACTAGTACACAGTTAGCTAAATGTACTTCAGTCACATGGACAGGGTTTAATTTTTCCAAACAAACTGGGACAAGGGATCATTCTATTTTGAATCTTAAAGTTAAAAATAGAAGTACTTATCACACACCTGTAAATTTATGTTGTTTGTACATATATATCTAATTGACAACATTGATCAAAATTATTCTTTATATTTGGACTAATATGTGTAAGGTAGAGAAGTACTCTGTGTAAGACCACATTTAGTTATGTTTGTGTAAAATCTCATAAAACGGTACAGTCAAATTTATCTTTGATGCAATATAGCAGAATGATCCACACCATCTTCTGTAATATCACTGTGATGCAACATAATTGAATGAAAAAAAAAAAACACCTGAAAGAAGTAAATCTTCCTTGAACCCATGCACCTCTTTGAAGAGTCAGTCATTATCACTAGGGACATATTGAATGTAGCCTTGTGTACATTTATTCAGTCATTTTGTTCCAAGTCAATTTCAATTCCATTAATTTTGGTATGTAACGTAGCATGATATATTTTCTCCTGTAATGACATAATTTTGATCACATTTGACTTTTCACAATTATTTCCATTCTACCATTACTTCACATTTACATTATTCTGCCCTGGGAGACATACATCATCTCATCTTACCAGGCTATGGCATTTATCCATATGATGACAATGAACTGCCAATCATCCCTATGACCTCATAGTGAATGTGCCTTTTTCAGTGACTTGTGTGTGATATTAAACAAGAGCTGTGGTATTTTGCATGTTATACAAATGTAGTAAAATCCTGTTTACTTAGAGCTATATTGTGTTCGTGTATATGTTCAATGTTAGCTCTCACCAATACCCCAGCCCGAAAGGAGCCTTTTACAAGAGATTCTTTTACAGGTCTGCTTGGGTTTAACACTGTCTACTGGTGTAGCACTTCTAAGTCATATTACATCTAAATAAGTGTCTCATTTTTTTAATAAATATTTCATTATTAAACATATTGCTTTCTTTATTTTGCTGAATATTTCATCCACCAATTTAAATTTTCATGTGTTAGCTTCCATAATGTATGTGAAATGTAATACAGCTCTAGTCTGTTGATATTCATTGGCTCATGCAGTACCTTTGAGCTTACGTCATGGTGTGGCGTCCGTCATGTGTCATCAACTTTCTTCTTTAATTAACATCAGCTGAAGAACCACAAAGCCTGGAGTAATTATATTTACCATATTACCTTGTAGCTTGCCGATGTGAAATACAATTAACTTTGTTAAAATAATTTGCCTCAAACCACATTTATAGTCATTTATTTGGTTTGGTTTTATTTTGTTTATCGTCCTATTAACAGCTTAGGTCATTTAAGGACGTCATTTATAGTCACAGTGGTCAGATGTGGTAAAAGCTTGCTTCAGTGAATGTCTATTAAGTTGTAATATATTACATTGACCCATAGTCAGGGGCAAGTAAATAATTATACTACAAGCTTCTTCTTTTCAAGAAGTTCTGGTGTCATGTTTGCCATGAGCTTGCTGGTGGGAAGGGCCTTCAACTGTGTTAAAATAAATTGATTGAAACACATTCAATGTCACAGTGATATTTGAATGAATCCTTGTGAATATGTACATAGAGAAATGGTATTTCAATACTTTAAACAAGTTCATGATAACCACAAATGTAGGTTAATAGCTTTTTACCTGTAAGTTCATAGGGTCAATAAAAAATCTGAAATGGCCACCATGAGTCTTTCATTACAGGGTAGGGTAATGGATATATTTTTCGTTTCTTGTCTTGTTTCGACATCTTTACTAGACATATATATGTAATTTTAAATCATCTGGTGATCAATTAAGTACCTCAGCTGTTGCAATGGGTGCATAAAGAAAGTCTGAAAATTGATCACCAGACTTGTGAAATTAACCGTTTAAGTACTGCAATACACCGTGTCCACATCTTAATAGACCATCACCAGTGAAAGCATCTCTGATGTCATACTGACTTGCTGTGGCAACACTATTTGATGACATGTGATGGTTGAGTACATCATGTGATATTGTGAGAACTTCCGTCTCATGTCGAGTTTGTCTTATTAATCATTATGTCCCATGTCCTGTTTGTAGATACACTGGGTTGAACATCTTATGTGATACATCTTACTTTTTGTTTGTAGAGGTGTGTGATAATGACTGGATATTTTATTTATTTTATATAGATGCATATGACAATGGAATAATGGATGGTCACCTCACGCCGGAGTACATTGATGAGAATGGAGTGTACGATGGGAAGCCATATGGTTATGGGTAAATATAAGGCTAAATTCATTTCACAATTATGTATTGGTTTAACAGTTCACTTAAGGATTGTTTAACTATGTCAGTAGGTTTGTGTGACAGAAAAGACATGAAACGTATCAGTTATTCTGACAGTCATCAAAATAGGGAAGACATTATGTCTGAGATAGTGAGACAAGTACCCAGTAGTTGTGTTTGACGAACTACATGATATCTAGAAATCAGAACTGTGAAGAAAAAAATGGAAATGAAAGTATATATAACGAAATTTTACAATACTATAGATAATATACCGTTTGTCTATCCCCAGGTATGGTGCTGATGCAGACGATGGATATGAACCCTATGCCCGACCAGAGTCCCATGTGGGCTTTGTGATGGAAGGTAGTCAAGCAACAGATGACTACGGAAACCTGCTGGACCCTTATAGCCAGCCAATGGTGGACCCGTATAGCCAGCCAGTTGTGGATGAGTATGGCCGCTACATCAACAATGGTGCTCAGGAGGAAGAGGATTACAACCAGTATGGCTATGGCATGCGGTAGTTCACGCATACATAAATGACAGTTCCACCCCAGCAACCATGCCAGTCCATGTCAATCTATTGACATGATTGTCAAACTACTCGCTCACTCTGCCATGCCTTTACAGAAGGCTGGTCCTATTCTCAACCTAACTTCATTTACTAGTGCAAAGTTTCATGAAAGCTAAATCAGAATATTCACACACATTTAGATCACAGGCTGATCACAATTTGAACATAAATTTATTCATTATTTTTTTAAAGAGGAGATGGGAAATAAATAGTAGAATTTGATTCAACCTTTTTTTTTGTCACACTGAAGGACATACAGATGTAGGTAAATGTTTTAAATAGTGTTTTTTTAACACGATGAACCTGAGGCTGAGTAAGATGAAGTATTCAACTGACAGAAGGCTGATTAATTATCTTATAGATGATCACTTGAAATTTGTTTTCCTTTAGTTGCTAACCTTAAATATCTTCTCTGCATCATCTTACTTTAATACTTATCATTGTATGCTGCATTCCAATAATTACAAATCATTCAATGGAAGTGCATGGTTGTCACACTTTATGACATTGAGTCATGATGGGAGTGATGCCATGTGGGAATTAACCTACTTCCCGACCAGCAATTACTTAATCCTCACAATCTGTCAAAGAAATACATACTTGAATTAACCTTCATTTGTTATCTTTATGTTCCCTATTTTAGGAAAACAAACTAAAACTTTCTTGCAAAGTTGTATGCTGTAATAAGGAGATTTCCTTCAAAACTTGTACAATTTTGTGTGTATGACACTATGACTGATTGATATGTAGACGGGCAAAGAAACTGGGCAGTTACTCGATAACCTTTAACTTCTTGTCGCTTTATAAATCACAATATGGACGGGCAGTGTCATTCCTTTCTAGACTGCAAGCAACAACATGAGCACAGTTTGTACAATATTGTTACGTATATTTTTTAATTAGAATGTTTTACACAAGAATCTTAGTGACTTGGTTCCTACCTGATACGTGTCTATAGTGTTTGTGAATGTGTTTCTACCTGATACGTGTCTATAGTTTTTGTGACTGTGTTCCTACCTGATACGTGTCTATAGAGTTTGGGACTGTGTTCCTACCTGATACGTGTCTATAGTGAGTGTGACTTGGGTCCTACCTGATACGTGTCTACAGTGTTTGCGACTTGGTTCCTACCTGATACGTGTCTACAGTGTTTGTGACTGTGTTCCTACCTGACACCTGTCTATAGTGTTTGTGACTTGGTTACTACCTGATACGTGTCTATAGTGTTCGTGACTTGGTTTCTACCTGATACGTGTCTATCGTGTTTGTGACTTGGTTCCTACCTCTGATACGTGTCCATAGTGTTTGTGACTTGGTTTCTACCTGATAAGTGTCTATAGTGTTTGTGACTGTTTTCCTACCTGATACGTGTCTATAGTGCTTGTGACTTGGTTCCTACCTGATACGGCTCTATAGTGTTTGTGACTTGGTTCCTGCCTGATACGTGTCTATAGTGTTTGTGCCTGTGTTCCTACCTGATACGTGTCTATAGAGTTTGGGACTGTGTTCCTACCTGATACGTGTCTATAGAGTTTGGGACTGTGTTCCTACCTGATACGTGTCTTTAGTGTTTGTGACTTGGTTCCTTCCTGATACGTGTCTACAGTGTTTGTGACTGTGTTCCTACCTGACACCTGTCTATAGTGTTTGTGACTTGGTTCTAGACTGCAAGCAACAACATGAGCACAGTTTGTACAATATTGTTACGTATATTTTTTAATTAGAATGTTTTACACAAGAATCTTAGTGACTTGGTTCCTACCTGATACGTGCCTATAGTGTTTGTGACTGTGTTCCTACCTGATATGTGTCTATAGTGTTTGTGACTTGGTTTTTACCTGATACGCGTCTATAGTGTTTGTGACTTGGTTCCCACCTGATACGTGTCTATAGTGTTTGGGACTGTGTTCCTACCTGATACGTGTCTTTAGTGTTTGTGACTTGGTTTCTACCGGATACGTGTCTATACTGTTTGTGACTTGGTTCCTACCTGATACGTGCCTATAGTGTTTGTGACTGTGTTCCTACATGATACGTGTCTATAGTGTTTGTGAATGTGTTTCTACCTGATACGTGTCTATAGTGGTTGTGACTGTGTTCCTACCTGATACGTTTCTATAGTGTTTGTGACTTGGTTTCTTCCTGATACGTGTCTATAGTGTTTGTGCCTGTGTTCCTACCTGATACGTGTCTATAGAGTTTGGGACTGTGTTCCTACCTGATACGTGTCTTTAGTGTTTGTGACTTGGTTTCTACCTGATACGAGTCTATAGTGTTTGTGACTTGGTTTTTACCTGATACGCGTCTATAGTGTTTGTGACTTGGTTCTAGACTGCAAGCAACAACATGAGCACAGTTTGTACAATATTGTTACGTATATTTTTTAATTAGAATGTTTTACACAAGAATCTTAGTTACTTGGTTCCTACCTGATACGTGTCTTTAGTGTTTGTGACTTGGTTCCTTCCTGATACGTGTCTACAGTGTTTGTGACTTGGGTCCTACCTGATACGTGTCTACAGTGTTTGCGACTTGGTTCCTACCTGATACGTGTCTTTAGTGTTTGTGACTTGGTTTCTACCTGGTACGTGTCTATAGTGTTTGTGACTTTGTTTCTACCTGATACGTGTCTATAGTGGTTGTGACTGTGTTCCTACCTGATACGTTTCTATAGTGTTTGTGACTTGGTTTCTTCCTGATACGTGTCTATAGTGTTTGTCACTTGGTTCCTACCTCTGATACGTGTCTATAGTGTTTGTGACTGTGTTCCTACCTGATACGTGTCTATAGTGTTTGAATCCTGTATTGAGGTTGTGATGCCAGAACACTTTGTGAGATTAACAATTATGGAGGCATTGTGTCATGGAGAAGGAGGGTAATGTAAACAATTATGGAGGCATTGTGTCATGGAGAAGGAGGGTAATGTAAACAATTATGGAGGCATTGTGTCATGGAGAAGGAGGGTAATTTAATCCTAGAGTGCTTTTCATCATTCCACCATGAATTCTTTGGTTCATCATAAATTTTATGTACATATTAAGATACATAGTGTTCTCTAGTTATTTATAAGCATATACAGAAATATTGTAATTACTCATGTTAGATACAATCATTTGTTCTTAAATTACCGAAAATCTTCCATAAATCATCATTTTTCCATTTTGTGAGAAGACTTATGATTTAAGTCAGATGTTGTTCTACACGTTGTGTGAAGTGTAGTCGATGTAAATATGTGTTAAATGTTTCCTAAGTGCCACCTATGCTGTGATTATCAGTGTGTTGCTATATAACACACTCCATACTTATCTGTAGCTCTGTACTATTTGGGTCCAATATTCTATAGGCTTTAAAAACACCAAGTATTCTTTATCCAAGGTTTAGGTAGAACTGTACTCATCTGGGCTCCAACAATCAGGAATGTTGGCTTGTTAGATGATGATATTGATATTGATTCACAAAGTTAATGTTAATCTGGGATTTTAAACCTCTATCTTCCTAAGTCAAATATGTAGTGGCACCTCCATAACCTAGCCACATATTGGTTGCATGTCAGAAGCAGTGAGAGACGACAGGAAGACTGGGACAGTTTGTAACAGAAACAAAATCTGTGGATAGTTTTACACCACAATATTGATCGCTAGGTTATTGAAGATTGACTAATGGACAAGACTTCAGAGACCTCCTTCCAAATTCTCTTGAACATAATGGATAGTACTTTGGAAGTGTTTTGTAACTGAATGGTTCACCACTTTGAGCAATGTGCAATGCTGATTTTGGTGTGCTAATCATTGAAAAAAAAAAAAAAAACTTTCTAAAAAAATCTAATCACTATAAGTAAATAGTAGAGGAAAACATTCCGAATTTAACATACCGATACATTAAAATGCATCTATTTTGATCACAGCTTTAGGGGTTTCAATGGAAATGAGGTTAATAAGGACGGAGTCAAGTGTAATAACAATGTTCTGATAGACAACAGAAAAAAACATCTGTAGCAGATTGAGTATGATTATTTTTTCCGGTTAACAAGTAAATCCTTTTAAATACAAATTAGCTAGAACAAAACGATGTGATTTTGATTATTTATCATGTTTGTGTGAGTTTGTGTTGCATCTTTGTTATGCACACATATTACTGTTATGCTGAAGGTTTTCTCATAGCTTCTGGCTTTGGTCTAGTATGAATGTTATAAACTTGCATTTTTTATTGCACATGTAACATCCAATTAAAGTAAATTAACTTATTAATGCCATGAGCCCACCGTGGTCACTGTGTGATTGAATCATTATGACAGTTGTATGTTAGTGTTGTATGTTTTTGTTAATGTATTTTCTACGGTTTTTTTCAGTTCCGTCCACAAAAATACAAAATCCACTTTTATATATATGTGTTTATCTTTTAGTCTCATTTTAATGAGTGTTTACTAATTGCTGTGATGGTTTAAGTGTATCTCAGTATTACCACACTTTGTGTACTGGTTGTTAAACGTTCACCGGAACCATTGATATCTCATACATAACTCATTCGGAATAGTTCAATATGTCATCATTTGAAACAAACTCAGAGATTAAATTGTACTACATGTACATGTATTTAAAACAAAAATTGATGTGTGTAAAACATGTAAGCTTGCCCAACAAATTATTTATCATTTTTCAACTACATGTCATTAAAATAATTTGTCTTATGTAAATTAATTCTCAACCAGATGCAAATTACCGGTAAACACTAATTGGATGGTTGTGCTCAATTTTGTCCATATGTCTAGGTGTATTACCAAGTAGGCTTACGTGATTTATGCTGCTTTTCTTTGATAGAGCTGCATGGTTTTATCCGACTAAAAGAACGGTTACAAGATATGGACAATACATGTAGTCTTTGAGTTAAGAATATCTTAGTTGTTATTAATATATTTGTTTCCAATTGCAATTACATTGTCATTATATTGTTTTTAATTCCTTTGAGTGGTAATGGAGTATGTAAATTATGTAGGTCAGAGAGTGAGGTGACTGCTCATGGTTTGCGTAGTGTATTACACTGAACAGATAACAGTCACAGTACAGTCAGCTATTAGGCAAAATCTTTAAGCAGGTATAATTATTGTATGATAGAGACATAAATGTCCTTGTTGGACATTTTATCAAACTTTTGTGCAAATTAGATAAGTGTGCCAGTTTCTTGTAAGGTGTTTATATCCTTCAAACATTGATGATATGCAGTCATGATGATATTGACTTTACAATTGATGCAGACAGATTTGTGCCTAGATCTGTTATACACTGAATAAACATTC